GAGGCCAGGTGACTCGTCCCGGGTCCCGGTGGCTCCACACGTCAGCCCCAGGATGGCCTTAGGCCGCTCCGAGGTGGTGAGGGCGCTGTGACGGCAGCTGGCTCTCCGCTGAGCCCAGAAAAACAGGCGCTGGAGCCCCTGCTGCCACAAGGGGAGGCCCAGAAGGCTCGCTGGGCCGGGGGGCCCTGACCCCCCTCCATTTAAGGCTCTGTCCCCCAGGCAAGCGTCTGGGGCACAGTGTGGCGCCCCTGTCACGTTGTCAGGGGGCCGCAGAGCCCTGACCGCAGCTGGGCCGGGCCCTTCCTCCGGTCGGAGTGGTCTTGCACTCCGGGAGACCGTGCTGCACACCGCCTGCGCCTCCCAGGGGGTCCTCAGACGCAGGAGCGAGTTGCCGACCGCAGCTCCGCCAGCCCTTCCCCACTTCTCCCCGAGACTACAAAAGTCAGCCTCCTCCGGAGCCTTCTCTGCTCAGGCGGACCCCCCCTCGTTCCCCTCAAACTGCCCCCGTGGGCACGCCGGCCACAGTGACGTCCCTGCACAGGGGACACCCCGGGGAGGACAGGCCCAGCAGACCGAATTGCCGCCCCCACTCATGGCTGCAGGACTTGGGGGCTGGGCTCACCTTCGGAGCCTCCTGGAGCCTCAGGGCGGAGGGAGCAGGGCGGTCCCAGGTGGCGCTGGGACGGTGCGTCCAGCGGACGTTCACACTGCAGGTCCCCAGCAGCCCTGCGCCCGTCCCTGGCCCCAGTGTGTGATGGGCGACTTCAGGCAGAGCTCCTCTCAGGTGACTTCACACAGACACAAAGCTGTTTATGAAGCAGGTTTCTCTTCCCCAATTTGTGACATTCTGCTTGGGGACGGGGGGTGTCCAGTGAGTGACAGGAATGTGCTACTCCATGCTCAGTGTTGCCATTTCCTCGCCGGCCCTCAGTCCCCGCTACTCCCCGAGGCCTCCCACACCCCCACCCTGAGCCCGCACTCCGTTCTCCTGGGCTCAAAACCGGACCCCAAACCCACGGTCCCCCCTTGACCCAGAAAAGGAGCAGCAGTCACGGTGACCCCTTCACCTGTGAGTCACATTCCAAGAGTCTGGAAATCGCTCTCACACTGCAGACCGCACTTCCAATTCCTGTTTTCTCGATACGGCGCCTGCTGCTACCTCAGAAATGAGCCTTCTCAGGCCTTTCCTCGTTTGGTCTGGGCCCGGGAAAGCCGGTTATGGAGTTCCGAAGCAAGTGCACAGCCGGGATTTTTTAACATGACGAATGTCACCTTTGTAGAAACAAAAGAGTTGTTTCTACACCTTTTTATTTACACGCTTTTTCAAACCTCCTCCAGGTAACAGCCCTCCTCTGTGCAGCTGCCCCTCACTAGGGACATTTAATGAAGAAGTGCTCTCTCCTTCAGGATTTTGTCTACAATTGGGCTTTTAAAAGTTAGCACTCAACAGGCTTCAGAAACAGTAAGACCCACTGGCAAAGTCCTGCTGCGGGACGCATGTGGCTACTGTAACCTTCGCTGAAACAAGGGGTCTCGGCACACAATGTAGCCCCGGGATCCACTGCCCGTGAACTTGCCACAGTGTTGCAGAGCCCAGTCCCAGCAGTGGGAACGATGGGTCTCAGACTGGACGGCTGGCCTGCAAGGGCAGGGATGTCCCATCCCGTTCCTCCACTGACTGCACAATTATCTTTCACTTTGGTCTAGAAACACAAGAAATGAGAGAGGCGTCTGAGCAGAGTCAGCTGCCGATCATGCGGTCAAAGGATTCACACGGACGGTGAGCCTCTGCCGCCCGAATGACCTTGACAGGGTGGCACACCAAAGGGAAGGTGCTCTGTGCCAGCGCCATCGGGGGACCCGGGTGCAGGGGGTGAAGAGTCCACCGACAGGGGCTGAGCCTCACACCCACCAGCTCGACCCCCACCTCCAAGAAGCCGGGCGGGGGGAGGGGTAGGAAGCGAAGGGCTCAGGACGGGCTCAGACGCGCTCCTTGTCCGGCGGGCTCCGTGAACACCCTTCCGAGTGAGGCTGGTTACGATGACCTTCTGGGCGGCCAGCAGCCGCCGGGACTCCGGTGCAGCACAGCAGCTGGGTGACGTGGGGAAAACCAGGGCCCTGGTCCCCACGGAGCCCGTGAATGGCCCGCTGCAGAGTACGCGGTGACTCGGACGTGCTGGGAGCCCGCGTGCCGCACTCCTTCGAACCTCGTCCGCACTCCCACTCGCTTCGGTGACGGCCGGAATTCGCGGCGGCTGCTGGTCAGGAAGTCAGATGTCCGGCTCACAGGTGGGAAAATAAGCCCAGCGTTTGGGTTTAAGGTGTAATTCGTTGGTGAGAAGTTAGGAACCAGAGACCAGAGTTAGTGTTTCATTTCCGTAGTTCATAAAATCGGCTGTGGCGAAAGGCAGGACCCTCCGAGGCCTCCAGTTATCCCCACGGGTGCGTTTTAAAGGTGCCGCCCGGCACAGAGCGGGGGGGTAACCAGGCCGACGGTGAGAGCAGGCAGCGTGGCGGAGAGCCAGCCGTGACAAGGGACCTGTGGCTTCTGCCTGGGTCGCCGGGAGCCCCAGGCCCTGAGTCACCCACAGGCAGGACACGCAGCCAGTGTGGGGCCGCCTGCTGCTGGGAGCGCCAGCGGGCAGGAAGCACCCCACCCCCGCCCCCCAGAGCCCGAGCGCTGCCCGATGCTGCAGCTACTGCGGCATCTCTGGAGTGGCTCCGAGCCAGAACCAGCTGCTCTGGAATTGCTGACCACGGAAGCCGACACAGAAATGGCGCGTTAGGCCGTGAGTTCGCAGCCGCCTGCCGCAGGGGACCGTGACAGAATGTGTGAGCCCCACGGCTTATTTTAGCATACAATTGAAAACCACCCAAATCATCCGCCAACACATTGGATAAATAAACTGGTGAGTCAATCAGTGAAACAGCGTATCACAGTAAAAGGGAATGACCTGTAGCGGTGAACAGGGCTGGGCCGCACACGCCCCGTGCTGTGTGGAAAAGCCAGCACCAGGGAGGCGTGTGCCGGACAACGGCACTGACACAAGCAGACAAGCTTCGGCAGCAGGAAACCTGCCCTCCAGGGACGGCAAGTGTGAAAAGACACCGGTCGTTGTGAAGGCCAAACTAGCGCTTCCCTGTGTGCAAAGGACGGGGCGTGTTTAGCCCGGGGGGTTTGCACAGACACCTGTTCTCTTCCCGTTGCATTACAGAGTTGCACACCCTCTCCTGTGTGTACAATACATTTCACAGCAAAAGAAACGGCTCTGGCAGCAGTGCCAGGAGTGGCGACAGCATCTTCTGCAGGCAGCTGAGGCCGGAGCAGGCCGGGACTCCGTGGGGGTTCAGGAACCGCCTCCCCTGGTTTGGCAAAGGAAGCCTCTCCCGAGCCCCTGCCCCCCGACAGGATTAACCCTGGGCTCCGTCAGGCAGGGGCCCCTCACTCCTCCGGGGCCTCCCTGTGTGTCCCTCACGCCACGAGCACCCACCAGGCTGCCCCCAGGCTGCCCCTCCAGGGACACGTGCCCAAGAGCCGTCTGCGGAGGAACTGCACCGCTGAGGTCCAGGCTGCGAAGACACTTGTCTCATGACAGTGACCAAGGGGGCCGAGAGGAGTGAGGAGGAGACCTTGGGCAGCAGACTCCTCGTGCAGTGAGTCTCCCAGGGACCCAGTGCCAGCCCCGGCCACACAGACAGGTGTGACGTTGCGGTCACGCACCATCACAGCCTGGGATTCTGGCTGCCTTCTCCTCGGTGACCCAGGCAGGACACGGTGAGCCCCTCCGATCGTAGCTGCCGTGTCCAGTGCCTTTCCGCACTCACACCACTGGCCCTGCCATCTGGAGTGGGTGCGCCCAGAACAGCTGACGGACTGGAGGTGGCCAATCTCCCTCCCGCTTTCTGCGGGGCCCTGGCATGCAGGGACCAGCTCTGCCCTGGACGGGGATGTGCGTCCGGCTGCCGTCCTGACCGCAGCAGACACGGGGAGGGACTCTGTGCTGTCCGGACGGCGTCCGGAGACCACAGGCCTAAGTCCGCTCTGCGGCCCACCGGCCGGAGTCCGGAGACCACAGGCCCACGGCCGCCTGTCCTCTGTGGGGCCCGAGGGGACTCAGGCAATGGCGAGCTTCAGGGCCCCCAGGAAGGATGCGTCCCAGGCGCCCAGCAGCCGTGTCTGGGGCACGCGGCGGAGGGCCCTCCCTCCTTCTTCGAACCTGCGGGCAGCGGCCACCCCTCCCACCCGGCCGCCCTGGGAGCTTATTTTAATCGCCACTGCCCGCCCACCTGCATCCCGGCTCTGACTGACATTCCCGAAACGCCACGTCCCTAGTAGGTGGCTGCCCCTCCCCAGAAGGCAGAGCAGGGACCCCGGCCAGCCCTGCGCACAGATCCGCTGCCCACAGAGGCCTCTGGGGCAGGACACTCCGCCAGGGAGGGGTCCGAATGCACCTCCCCGGCCTTCGGAAGGACCCCGGGTCACTGGCTCCGGGCAGGTAGCCACCCGGCCACAGGGCCCCACACCACTCACACCCGAGGGTCTGGAAGCCTTGGAGCTTCGGGGAGGACGGTTCCAGGCACGTGTGTCCTGGGGAGAGGTGGTCCCTGGTCTGGGTAAAGGCTGGCCGGGCCTGTGAGCTGATAGGAACGATCTAGAACTCGTGCTGCTGGTGGGCTCACACCCTTTACAGACAACGGGCTGCGTCTCATCGGCTGGGCCCACGGAGCGCGAGGGGCATCGCTGCTGTGACAATCCCATCTTGTAACATTAAAAAGACAGTCACCCTCACAGCGCCCCCTGCGGCCGGTTCTTAACCCACCACGCTCTCCGCAACATGGAAGACAGACTCAGTGTGTGAGTGGCCACTTCATTAAATCACCAGGGATTCTACTGATCTGAGAAAGACTAATTGCCAGTAACTCCTTGAGGTTCGGGAGAGGAGCACCCTCCGGAGGAGGAAGGGCCGGGCCACCCTGCAGCTGTGCGTGCGGGCGCCGGGTCACAGGTTGGACCTGAAGCCGGCCTTCACGGAGAAGCGCATCATGGGCTTCTCCCGGGGCCGCAGGAGGCAGATGGAGCTGGGGAAGCCCCTCAGACGCAGGCGGCCGACGCCCCCGTCCGGGTAGATGGTGAGCCTGGCGTGGGTGACGACGTCCTGCAGCTCGGGGGTCAGGCTGTTGAACTCCTGGCTCTGGTCGGGGCACAGCTGAAAGAGAGGCGGAGCCAGGGCTGCTGCCGCCCCCAAAGGCCGGCCTGCGCCGCACCACCATGGGCTGGGACTGGGGGCTTCCGTGGCCCGGCTGACCGCCGAGACCGCGGGCGGGGGCGATGCCCAGACAGCGGGGCACAAATGCTCCGGTGTCGTGGTGGGCGCGGCACTTAATAGTAGTTAAGGGGACAGACTGATAGGACGAAGTGGACATGGGTCCCCGGAGGCAGTCACCTGCCTCATGGGGGAGCAGCCTGCACCCTCCATTCTGAACCCCCACAGGTGGCCAGTCCAGCATCCACGCCTCAGGTGAATGCACTGTTACAGCCTCAATAAGCTATTTTCTTTCTAAAAGTTTGATATAATGCAGAACCATCCTTCCATGTGTTCTTTGCACACGCCAATTTACACCAAAATTCGGTTGCCATGAAAAAGAATGAAGTCCCTTCTCTATACCATGTAAATGCGCAGACGGCTTTTAAAGGCCGCCTGTGCTACCAGGGGACTGAGCAGGCAGTCTGGAGTGGGGGGGGGGCTGCAGACTTCGAGGGGAGGCCCCGCCCCACCCCGCCAGGCCGCACCTTCGTGACCGGGAGCAGCGCCTTCCACCTGTGGCCCGGCAGGTCCCACCTCTGCCTGATCATGTCTTCCTCCTCCTGGGTGGTCAGGATGCAGCCGTCCAGGCTGCAGCTGGCGGGGGAGCTGCCTGCGGGCACAGGATGGCAGAGAGGGGCTTTCTCTACACCCTTGGCCCTCGGCACAGATCACCTTCTGGGGTCTCGGGATTTCAAATCGGACCCAGAGCCCAGCAAAGAACAAACCAGCGCCCCCTCTCGGCAGGAGATACGGAATGAAGGCCGAGAGTGGGGAACGTGTCCTGAAACCGGGGTTCGTCTCTCACGGGACTCGGAGGCGGGCTGGCGCGTGCTGTGCATCTGAGTTTCAGCGCCTGGCATTTGGCCGCGTGTGTGGAATGTCTGATACATTCCTGGACTGCGGTTTTAATTACTTGCGTGCTGCTCTGTGGCTCGCCTGAAATGATCGTGGAGCGGGAAAACCCCTCCTGGTGGCGGCGCGCTTTGTAACGTGACGATGAAGAGATGCGGAGCTGAGGGGACTGGAGCGGGTCCCCGAGTGTCCTCTGGGTGCAGAGAGACGGCGCCGAGCCCCACCCCCAAGGAACGTGCGGGGCACACGACCCCAGCCTTCGCCTTTACCTTTGAAGGGCCTGGTGTCGACTTCGATCTGCGTGACCACCCCAGGATGTGCCAGTCGGAACACGGCCCACTCGCACCCGGGAGGGAGGACGGCGCCGTCCTGGCCGCTCTGGAATTCGGGAGGAAGGGGTGTCGGCCGAGGCAGAGACCAGCCTGAGACCCGCCGGTGGCGGGGACAGGCTGACTGACGTGCGCTGAGGGTGTTCCTCTCTCGCCCCGAACGCGAGCCCTGCGACCCGGTTTGGCAGTGACTCCTTGTGCCGCCGCCTCGTGAGTCCGTTGGGCGGTGGGAGTTCTCAGTGGGGTTTACACGCTGGAAGTGGCCTTTTATTTTGCCTTCCTCTGGATTTCCTCATGTCATTGAGCCACCAGCCACGCTGTCCCCCCGTCACATGTTCACGCAAGTGCTCTCGCCCAGGGACACACGGACATTAGGAACGACTAAGCTGGTTTTCTCCTCCCGGCCTGTCAGTACATCTGCCCCGGGTTTTATATACGACATTAACTCCCAGACCCCTCGTCGGCCCGCTGGCCCTGCGCCCTGCGCTAGAACAGAGCAGGCAGGTTCGGGACGCGCTCCCTGCATGTGAGACGGAACCGCGGCGCCTCACCTGCAGCACGGGCGGCCGGTCGGACCGCCTCGCCGTCTCCCAGCCGTCGCCCACGGCCTTGGGCTGGCCAACACCTGCGGGGAAGAGCGTCCGCACTCGTGACTCCACCTCCCGCGGAGAGCGGGGTCACCGGAGCGCAGACCCACACGCCTGAGGGCGGCCGCGGCAGCTGCGTTCGCCGAAGGTGACGCTTCAGTCGAAATCACGAAGGGAAACCGCCGTGGTCGACGTATCCTAGAGGCGAGTCCTGCACGGGCACCGCCCCCCCTCCGTCTGTGAGACGCCCCTCCCACCACATCGGGTGTCTGACGCTGCCCACCCCCCCCCCCACGCACCGACTCACCTATCATTCTGTTCGGGTGCCCGAAGTGGGCGTTGCTGAATGCTATGCACGCCCCGCCGCACGCGATGGCCGCCAGGTCCAGCGGCTCCTTGGGGTCGATGGCCGCCCAGTCTTTCTGCCCGATCCCGTACACCCTGAGGCGTGCGATCCCCCCGTCTGGAAAGGAGAGGCGCCTGGGTGCCTTTCGTGCTGGAAAAGCAGCTGTCCGCCGGCCACAAACGACAAAAAGGAGCAGAGCCTGTGCCCCGCCTTCCAGGGCCTGGAGCTGGTTTCGCAGCTCGCCCAAAGCATACTCGTCCACCTAATGTCCTGGCCTCGGGGAGGCCCTCCCTCGGACCTCCAGCAGGGTCTCCCCCACCCCCGCCCACCTCCCCAGCAGGTTTATCGCCCCCCCACCCCCGGCGCATCATTGCTCCACAGTCCAGTCGCAGGCCGAAGTCCCCTCGTTTTTTATGTGAGTCCCTGCTCATGTATTCTCCCAAACACGGGATAGAAAACCTCTGAATCGTTGCCTCCCTTGTTCCCTCTGTATCATCTCCACCTAGAACCAGTCCCGGCACATAGTAGGTGCTCGTTTTTCACTTGAATTAATAACTCCAGGGAAGTCAAAAAGCAGCTGGTCAATTCACCACAGATGTGATATTCGGTGCTGCACAGACTCAGACAAGAGCCGTACGGTTTGGTTTTCAGGATGATGCAACGCTTGGCAGTGCAGATGGGAGCACGAGAGAATATTCCCAACAGCCGAGGGCGCCTCAGCCGGCAGAGCCGACAGCAGACCCGCGCGCATCGCCTGCTTCTCGCAGAGGGAACGGTTTTCATTTGTCTGAATGTTACTTCCTAGAGGTGGGAGCCGAGTGCTCTCCGTCGGAACTCAAACTCGTCATCAGAGTGTTCGACTGACACCCGCCCTGCCTGTTTGTACGGGGAAGACGCCGCAGACCTGGGTGGGCGGAAGCTGTGTCAGCGGAAATCCCGATTCACAGTCAATCAGCCCGGACCCCATGGGCGCGACGCCCGAGACCAGACCCAGCGGATGCGGGAGCAGGCGCTGCAGCGCGGGTCATGCTCAGTCACGCTCGGTCACGCTCAGTCTTCAAACGGCAGCCTCTCGGGTAAAAGCATGAGGAGCGGAAACACGCCGCACCCAAGTGTGGGCCAAGGGACCCCGGGGGGCTGGTGAAGGTCAGAACAGACGAAAACAGCCGAGTAAAATCTCTGGAAAGTGTCCTGAGGGCACACGGTGAAGGAGGCAACATTTAGTCGGGAAAATTTGCGGAAACTCAGTAAGAACCGTGAGCTTCCAGTTTTGGAACCAGGCCAGGAGCTCCGCTCCCTCATCCCACTTCAGCGAGATGGTGGCTCCGGGCGGCTGAGTCCACACCACAAGCCTTGTCCTGGCTGCTGTGGCTGAGTGCTGGCCTATGGACTGAAATGTCAGCGGTTCGAGTCCCACTCAGAGCGCAGGCCTGGGTTGCAGGCCAGGTCCCCAGGAGAGGGCGCTCGTGAGGCAACCACACATTGATGTTTCTCTACCTCTCTTTCTCCCTCTCTTCCCCTTTCTCTAAAAATAAGAAAAATAATAAAATCTTTCTTAGAAAGTGAAAAAACCCTGCAAGCCTGTGCCCCATCTGGCAGCCGGGGGGCTTTCTTCCTGGGAGGGGCAGGGCCCTGGCGTTTGTCATTCTGTCCCATCGGAGGTTAAGTCCCAGGTGAGTCCCAGCCTCCACTGCCCCTCCTCCGGGCACCCAGGTCCTCAGGCAGCATGTCCCCAAGGGAGGAGTGCACCGTGGTCCCCAGCACCAGCCCAGAGCCAAGGCTCAGAGACTGGGCCCCTGGAAGAAGCTGGTCCTAGAACAGAGAGCTCCAGGTCTCTTCCCAGCAAGCTGAGTCCGTGGGCAACAGAATGTGGAGCAGCTCAGGCCCCGAGCTCTCTCGGAAAGACCAGGGGCTGGGGGCTTCACGGGAGACCTTTGTAAACTGTAAAACTGGTTCTGCTGCAAGCCAGACGGATGGCGGGAAAGACCAGGGACAGAGCTCCGCAAAGCCCTTCTGAGATCCGAGCAAATCTCAACACCCACCTCAAAACTGTCCCTTCGAAGGAGCCCAATCTAACTGGATCTTTAGCGCCGTGACCCATACCCCGGGCATTGCCGAGTGAGGAGAGCGACCAGATGGCAATGAGCGGCGCTGACTGTGGTCAGCGTGGTGAGGAACAGAGACCATGAGAGCACTCGGCCACGGCTGTCACCCTGACGGGTCCCGGTGTCACCGAGGCTGCACGCCCTGAGGAGTGTCCTCCAGAGACTCCCACTGGGACGGTGAGCTGGGCTCCGCCAGTGGACACAGCCACAGCCAGACACCACCGCACCTGGACAGGCGATGAGGCCATTATCCGAACAGGTGGTGTGGAGGCACGAGTCCCCTCCCTTCTCTCCAGTGCGTGAAAACACCCCAGTGTTCAAGGGTACAACGCAGTCTCTGCAACATCGGCCGGTGACACGTGCCACCCAGCAGGCCAGCACAGCAGGGCAGGGCCTAGGAAATGACCCCCGAAAGCTCAGCTCAGTGGGACAGATGGAGAAAACCACAGGCAGCGAACAGGGAGGTTCACGCCACGGACCCTGAGAGACCGTGAGTGCAGACCGGCTCTCCTTCCTTCTCTCGACTTCTTCAGGAAACACACAGTTACAATGTATCGTTGGGTTTGCAACGTTCGTATGTGCTTCTCATTACAATTATGCCACCGGAAAGGGGGGAAGGAAGTAGAGCCACGCATCTCTAAAAAGAAATAAAAATAAAGTAGTGAAATAATCACTAAATTGCAGAAATAAACCCAGGTGCCTGTGAGCACTGCTACTTTCCGACAAGCGGCCAAAGGCACTCACTTGGGGAAGGGAAGTTTCTTCCACAAACGGTTCTTGGAGAGACTCTGTCCACATGCAATCGGATGAGGCTGAACCCTCACCTCACGGCGTCTACAAAGTAACCAGCTCGAAACTGGTCAAAGACCTAAAGAGAAGGGCTACAATGATGCGCTCTTAGATGAAAACGGGGCTTTTCTTTGTGACCTCGGACTTGACGATGATTTCCTCCTCGATCTAACTCAAAAATATGAACACTCCCCAAAACACACATCAAAATGCAGAACTTTGTCAAAATTCAAAACTCTCGTGCATCAAAAGACTGTAGCAAAAAGTGGGAACACACCCGACCGACTAGGAGGAAACATTGAAACATTTGCGCACATCTGGTCAGCGTTTAGCACAGTGGTAACTGTTGTGACGATGATAAACGACAGAAACCCAATGTGAGACTGGGCAAAAGCCCCAGGTAGGCATATTCCCAAAGAAGGCGTACCAGCGGCCAGTGCAGCGCCTGAAAAATGCCGTTCAGCACCACTGGCCACCAGGGAGACACAGACCAAAGCCACCGTGGGCTACTGCCCCACCTTCTCCGGGGCGACTGCAACTTCCAGGAAAAGACGGGAGCCCACCGAGTGACTTGCCACTCGGCTGGTGGCAAGTCATCAGTGCAGCCACTTTGGAAAACAGCCTGACCAGTCCTTGCGTGACCCAGTGACTCTGGTCCCAGGCGGACACCTGCACACAGACACGAGTCCGTGAAAGCCCTTGCACAAAGTGCCTACGGCAGCATCGCTCTGATGTAGCCACAGAGGGAGACCGTCTCAGCGTCTGTCGGCTGATGGATGAGACAAGGAGGCGCCCCTCCCCACCGCCCCCCCCCAGTGTGACGTGATTCAGCTGTAGAAAGGAGCAGAGCCCCGCCCCGTGCTCGGCGAGCTGAGACTGGAAAACCGCGTGCTCAGTGATGGGACCAGTCACGGGAGACAGAAATGTCCAGGATGGGACGCAGACTCAGGCGGCCGGATCGGCGGAAAGCAGGGTGGGTGGCAAACAGGAACCAGTTTCTTCCTGAGACAGTGAAACTGCCCCCCAGGTGATGGTGGGGACGGCCACTGCTGTCACACCGACTGTCACTCGCATCCCGAAAACCACTGAACTGATCGCTCACCTGGGGGGGGACGGCACCGGGTGTGAGCCCCAGGAAGCTGCTATAGAGCGGAGCGAGCGGCCGTGTGTGGGCCTCGGCCGCTAGCGCACCCGAGAAACGCAAACCCCAGGGGCTGGCCAGCCCCACGCAGCTTAGTCCCGGCTGCGCGCCTCGCCCTGCGGGTCCCGACACTGCCGTGGACGGATGCCTGAACCCCGGACTCTGCCAGAGAGCAGACATCGGCGACCGGGTCGGAAGGGGCGGCGGCATTTTCTGTCTGTGCACCTGCCGCCGCTCCATAAAGACAACAGAGAAAGGACCTGTGGTGACGGGGACACGCCATATTCACCTGGGAACAGGTTGAGTCTTACGTGAGTCCATCTCTGCAGGGAATTTACCAAAAAGTAGTTGTGGCTGAAAGCAGGCTTTCCCGGCGTCAGCTGCGTCATGGGCACCAGGCAGTCCCAGCTGTCCGACTTCAGCTGCGAGGGACAGAAAAACGTTCGCGTGGCTCCCAGGAGGAGCAGGCCTCCAAGGCCTTGCGCCTGCGTGGGGCTGGCAGGGCGCAGGTGCCCCAGTGACAGACAGTGCGGGGAGCACTTCAATAAAAGTCATAACGAGGGTCCAGGTTTCATGTGCAGAGCAGGGCGCTGGCTGTTTCCACTCGGATCACAACGCCCACGGCAGGGGTGGGGGAGGCCGGGGAGGAAGGACCAGACCTGAGCTGCCCTCCCCTGGAGGAGCCTCAGGGTGGGGCCGTCAGAACAGGATGTGAACAAGCCGGGAAGCCCAGGGCTGTTCCTGGGCGCTTGGCGGGAGGGAGCCCCGCAGGGATTTTCTCTGGATCTGCGCTTCCCCGACAGAAGGCCTGGTCTGCTCGGCTGTCACTGGTTTCTGAGCCTGGCACGGACCAGTGCTTTTGTAAGACATAGTCTGAATTAATTACAGGACAAACGAACCTCAGAAAACAAGAAGGCACCAAAGCACAATCCCAGATCGTCCGTTTCATTATGTTCGTGGGCCATGAACTCACTTTGTCCAATTCCCATAAGACGTATTTGGACTCCAGCCGTTTCTGTCGGGGTCTCAGAGCTGAGCATCCGCAGGCGGAGGGGCCGCAGGGCACCTGGGCGAGTCGCTCCCCTGGACCCTCGGCCACGGCCTCCCTCGAGCACTGGCTGCCCGAGCCGCTCACAAACATTGGCTGGGTCGCACTGTGCAGGGGGGGCCATGTCCCTGCCCCTGGCGTGGCCCAGTATGAAGAGCGTCCCCCCCCCGCCGCCCTGGCCCCCCGACAAGCCCCCACCCTTTCCTGGAGACGTACCTGGGCGACGGCTTCCCACTCCTCAGGCGTGGCCTCCACCCCCGCCCGGACTCCTCGCTCCGGCATCTCCGGCTCTTTGCCTGGTGTCAGAGGGAGCAAGGGGGCAGGGTCAGGGCTCAGAACCCAAAAGGACGACGCTCTGAGTGGGCCGTGTGGTCATCCCATTCCGCCGGCCACACCAGCGACGCCGTGCCTTCAGTGAGAGTGTCCAATGAGCAGAGTAGCCCCACGCTTGCTGGCGCTCCTCACCACGTGGGGACCAACGACCGTGCAAAGAGCAGTGTGGCGTTGGGCGGCACATTGCCGTCAGGATAGCAAATGTTTCCAAGTCAAACCGGAGCCGGTCTCTCCCCTGACGAGGGTTTTCAGACTCGGGGGCCCGGTAGGATCCCTTCCCCAAATGCACCTCCCCCCGGGGGGTCATCCAGGAGCAGGTCCCACTGGGTGACCCAGGACCCGGCTGACAGCTGGTGGCAGGCGGGCTCACTCGTCTGCCCCGTGTCACTTCCTGCCCCCAGAGGAACCTGTCACCCAGCACCACCTAAGTCCCTGGTGCCCCGCTTCTCTCCGGGGCAGAGCCTCCGACACTACGGTGCCTTCCGCACAAACTTCCCAGCTCACGTCACTTCTCTTCCCCAGGACGTGTCTGTCCACACAGGCGACAGCCCTTATTTCTGAGAAGTTAACTCTGGAGCCAACATCAGCTGATGCCCATGGAAGGACCGAAGGGGCGGGTCCGACTTAAAGCGTCCAATCACTGCGCTGGCAGGCAGGGCCCCACCCAACGCCCAGGGCCCCTGCGTCACTGACCGGGGCTGCTGCCACGGCTCCGTCTCGGCGTCCAGGTGGCGTCTCCACCCCCAGCACCCTGCCTGCCACACCTCACGGTGACAGTCTGGGAGAGCGTGGGGATGATGCCATCTGAATCAGGTCAAAGGGCATTGCTAAGCTAGAAACCCAACATCACAGAGCGTGCCGCCGAGAATACAAGCTGGGAAGCCCGTGGCGGCCAGTGGCCAAGACGAGCAGCTGAGTCTGTGCGTCTGGCGACACACGGCCGGGGGGCTGAGAGGCCTCAGGGCCCCGCAGGGCCATCCTAGGGCCTGGTGTCCCCAAAGTACCTTCTTCCAAGTTTGCTGCTTGAATTGAGATCCGAGGGGCGTAGCTGCCCGTGAAGTACGAAGCGTCCACGTCGAAGCCCCGGATCATGCCCTGGATGCCCAGCTTGACGATGCACCAGTCGTGACCTGCGGGACCCAGATGACAGAGCACCCATCACCCCGAGGTCGGCGGGGCAGCCGGTGACAGAGCGGAATGCGCATGTTAGTGTCCCGCACTGACCCCTCTGTCCATCAGAGGAAACGGGACGGGTCAGCTCTCAGCTACGACTTCGGGGTCCCCCATCCCGGGGCCCCGTGGACCACTGCTCCCCATTTCCTGCAGGAGTGGCCGCTCTCAGAGCAGAGCTGGGACGGCCCCGGACGCCGAGGGCCATCGGCAGAGCTGTGTGTCCCCCCGAGGCAGACCGCCCGGCCTCTCCGAGCGTCCTTTCCTCCCTGTGGGTCGGGGGCAGCCCCGCCCAGCTCAGCAGGCACCTCATTGTCGAGGCAGGTTTTGGGGTGTCCGCTCCCGCCCCTGCCCAGGCCCCTCCGGTTCGGGCGCTGAGGTCTGGGAGCTCTCCAGGTCAGCAGGTCGCTGCGCCCCCCCCCAGGGTAGACCCCTGCCCGCCGCCAAGCGTGCAGACGTGCTGGGGTCCAGTCGTGCCCGCAGGGCCGGGAAACGCACAAGGTCACAACCGCCTGGTGCATCGCAGCACTCGAGAGAGCAGACAAGTGGGCTTTTACAGGCCTTTCTGCAGCTTTAAAAGACGCGTTTTGATGGACTCTGAGGAGTAGTGACGAGTCAAAGCGGCGCCTTACAGTGACTAGAAGACTCTGTGTGCGGTGGCCCCGACGACCGGACAGGGCTGAGCACGCGTGTGCCCCCAGAGCCGGAACGCAGGAAGCCCTCCCTGCCCCCCCATACCCCCCCCCCGCACACTGTCATCTTCCCAACAAGTGTCTGGCTCCTTTACTCCTGGGGCTCCCAGGTGCCCGGGTCCCCCCCACCCCTTCCCGAACGCTCCCAGCCCACGTCCACCAGGGACAGCCAAGGTCACTAAGTGTCCCAGGGCCGGAGCCAGCGCTGCCCCCAGGGGTCCCCTTTTCACTCGCCCAGCAGGAAGGGGCGGGGCAGCACCGGGTACCTGGAGCCCTCCGCCTTCTGGTCTCCCAGCCGTCCATCCACTGGCCGAACTCCGTGTACTCGTGTTCTTTGAAGCGCGGGCCGTCGCTCTGAACACAGAGGTGCAGCAAGGCGGTGACTGGCCTGCGCTCAGCCTGGGCTCCCGGCCAGTGGGCTTCTGCCCTGAGGCCCAGGTGGGCCTGCTGACCAGACGCTAGGGGCGTGCTCAGTGGGCGTGGCAGCGCCCGCCCTCCACCCTGCGCAGGTAACCCATCCCCGCCAGCCCGGTCTCTGTGCGGCCCTCAGAGAGGGAAGTCCCGCCCTGTGGCCTCTGCGAGCAGAAGGGACAGCTGAGTGGTGGCCACACCGGGTCACCACCAGTGTCCAGGCCCCACAGACAGTGCGGCTCCCGGCCCACAGTCCGTGACCCCCACCCGCCTGCCTGGCCGACGGGAATTCCCTCGGTGGGGGCACGGCTCCCTCCCACCAGCACCGCGCCCCCAGAACCGGCACCACTGTACCTTTAGGAGGTTTTCTGCAGGAGCAAAAAAGTCATCTGTTGCAAACAAAATCTAGGCAAAGAGAGATGAAATAACCATAAATTAAACCCACTTTGTTTCATTCCCTGGCCAGCCATTAGGAGGCGCAGTAAGGAGACGCAGTGAACTCTCCTGAGGGGGGGACGTGGACAATGGGCCACTGAGCCCGAAGCTGTGAGGGGGTCCCCTTCCGCCACCTGCCTCCCCCGAGTCCCCGCTTCTCTGACTCCCCTCCACCACCCGGGGCCCGACCCTGGGGAAGAACACAAGCCGGCTTTCTTCTCTGCGAGGATCGGGACCGGGCTGTGCACCCCGTGCACGCAGAGCCTGCGGCCGAGCGTCTCGGAGGGCTGGCTGGGAGAGGCCGTCTCTGAGAGGGGGTGCTCTCCAAACTGCTCTCAGAAGCAAACCAGGCTGGGGCCACCCTGCCTAACCCAGGCCCAGCAGCAAGGGCTGCAGCCTGGAGGGGACCTGGTGCTCTGGTCTGGCCCACCCGGCCCCAGGAAGGTGCCCTGGTCTGCTGTGTTGGGTGGGCCTGCTCGGGGAGCGAGTGGAGGCGACCCGCAGGGGGGCCGCCGTCTCCACACCCATCCGCCGCCCCTCAGTGGAAACCCTCGGGAGGGGGGCCCTTCCTGCCTCCCCAAGCTCACCTTCCGCAGCCCCCCGCCCCCCTGCCACACAAACACTGGAAAGTTTCAGAAACACCAGCCCAACTGGACCACGTCTGCCCCTTGGCGGCCCCCTCTGTCTGAAGCTCCCCCCGCCCCTTCGTCCGCCTTTCCAGCCGCCTCCCCCACTCAGGGCATCACTCCGGCCGGGTCTTCCCCTCCCAATTGCCCACGGTGGGGCCGAGAACCCGTGTGCAATCCTGGCGTCTTGGCGCCTGGCGTGCTGCTGGCGCCTCCCTGCCTCTGCACGTGGCCACACCTCGGTCCCTTTGCCCCCTGCAGGCGCTACCACGCCGGGCCCTCCTCGGCGCACAGACTCCCAGGGCGTCTCCTCCTGCCAGAGTCTGAGGACCACCACTCTCTTCTGTAAGAGGGCCCACGGGGGGACAGCGAGTTCTCTCCACAGGCGCAAAATGTCCTTTTTCAAAAAGAACTTACGGCACCAACTGAAGAAAAATGATTTGGAAGCCTTTGGTGGTCAGGGGCTCCCTGTGCGAGGCAGGCCCTCCTGCCTGGCCCCTGCTGCCCTGGCTGGTGTCTCCGTGGTGGGGACCTGGGCCCCCAAGGTGGCTTCACTGCTGCTCGTTCCTGCCACAAGGCCGCTGCTCACCTTTCCTCCCACAGACTCAGACGCCATGTCGATCAGCTGGACGAAGTCGGGGGACCGGGACAGTTTTCCCTCCCTGGGCGAGTCAGCCATGCTGCCTGCAGGGAGAAAGGCAGGCGTGGTCACCTGTGGGCCGTGTGGGGTGGGGGGCAGGGCTCTCCTCCAGACCCCCACGCCCCAGCTGAGATGGGCAAACCGCCCAGACGGCGCTGGATGCTGTGGCCGGGCGCAACCCCTCCCGGTGGGACTGGAAGGCGACTTTGCCCAAACACTGGAAGTGGAGGGACGCGGAGCAGCTCCCGCTATGGCCCACGCCACAGAGGCACCCAGGGCCCACGTCAGGGGGCCCTCGTCCGCCTGGGCGAACGGGGCAGTCGCTGGGTGATCGATCGATGGGCGACCGTAGGGCGAACTCGGGGGACCCGCTGTCCCAAGCTCGCTCCGCCTCGTCCGCCTGCGCTCCCCGGAGCCCGCCTCCAACACAGGCGGACGCTCTCCAGTCTCCTGTTTGCTCCTCCAGACGAGGCCTGGCTTCCACTGGCAGAAGTGAGTCCACTTTGGGGTGGGAAAGCCCACGTCCCAGCAGCCGCCGTCTGCCCGCTTCACTGGGGACAGGACAGGCTGGACAGGGGGCCGGCACGGCCTCTTCCAAGACGCAGTCACTGGAAACCTTATCAGTCTCTCCGCGAGGCTCCCTGGGCGGTGAGGACTCTGCCGCCCGCTGTGCTGAGCGAGTGACGCGGAAGAGGAGCAAACGGTCGGGCCTTTGCAGGACGCGACAGAGGACCAGCTCGGGGACAGCTCTCCGCGGGGGACTCAGCCCCTCGGCAATGTCCCAGCAATGCTGGTGGCGGGTGGGGGAGGCGAGGCAGGAAATCCTGCCACCGTCTCTCTGCGGCCTCCTCACACACCCGCTTCTCCCCTCGGCGTCGGTCAGAGAGATCAGACTGAGCAGGGGAGACGCAGGGGCCGAGCCGGTGCGGGGGGTGCTGGCCTCGGGCGACTGCTCTGCGGTCGTGCGGAGACGGGCCTCTGCCACACGCGGTGTCCACGGGTACTTCTGACGGAACTGAATTCGGCTTCTGGGAGTCGCCGCCGTCCTGGCAGGAAGCTCCAGCCGCGCGCTCAGGTGCTCGGTGGGCGACGCATCTCCCCAGGGCTCTAGAGCGCCCCCCCCAGGAGGCGCCTCTGTGTTGCTGGCGTTGGGTGCGGCAGCGGATCTCAGTGGCGGCCTGGAAAGCTGTCCACGTGGCTTCCTGCTGTGGGAGACCTACTGTGGGACACCTACTGCGTGCCAGGCACCGACCGAGCACCTGACCCAGGCAACCTCCTTACGAGGTGCCCGTGACTGTCCTCACATCGTCCACGGAGACGGAAGCTCAGGGAGGGAACGTCACCCTCGTCCAGTACCACTCGGTCCCAGATGGGGACGTCACCGCAATTCCTCGCCCTCCTCTTCCCATTCCACGGCCGTCCCCCTTGCTCTGTGAAGGGCAGGTGCTGACCGCTCCGGCTTCTCGGCCCACCCGGTGCTCACGGCCGCACAGAAGGGAGCCGGTCCTGAGCCCCGGGGGGTGACTCACCGCCCCCAGACCCCTGGGACACTCACACGGCAACCTCCCTGCTCCCGTCCCCACAGTGGGTCCCTTTCCGCCGCATCCACGTCTCAGAGAGAGATGCCAAGGTCTCCCAGTTAAGGCCGGGGGCCCGGCAGCCAGACTCCTGTCCCCCCAAATCACCACCCCCTTGCTCAGACCCCCTGGGGCCTCTGCTTCCAAGTCCGTCACAGAAAACACAGCACCTGCTCCAACCGGCGTCTAAGTAACTCCGAGCCCAGGCACAGGGAGCCGGGCCGTAGTGTTGTTCATGGATCCTGCCGAGGGCTCAACGCACTTGCCCCCGCGGATCCACTGATCCATCGGAAACGAGGCGGCGGCGGGTCCTTCCGAGGAGGAAACGGTGTCTCCCCGCAGTTTCCCGGCGGCGCTGCCCGCTCTGCTGCTCTTGTTACTGCGGTCGTTGTGGTTGCGGCTGTCGTGGTTGTTCTCCCCGGGAGTTGCCTTGGAAGCAGGGGCGCAGCAGCCTGAGTCCAGGAGACGGGGTGGGACGGAGCGCCTCCCCCCGACCAGGGGCTCCGCTGGCAGGAACGACCCCATTCAAGGGCGGCAGCGACTTGCGTCATCACGGTGGGTAAGTCCTAAGAAAGCCTTTGGCCAAACGTGTGAGATGTGCAGTGAAATAAAGAAGCCGACTTGACTTGGGACGAAACAGAGGGCACGCACTCCGTGACCTGGAGGAGCCCGGGGTCGGCCGCACGCTCCGTGTGGTCTGCAGCGTGGCACGTGCTCGGGTTTTGCTCGAACGTGTGGCTCTTCGTTCCAATACAGGTTTGTTTCACCTGTGAGCTTAGTTTTATGGGGGGGGTTTAAGGCCCAACGTCGACCCAAAATTTAATTTTCATCTATTAAGGACTTCGACCCAAGCAGAGTGGGACCCGGAGCCCAGAGCCTCTCGTCTGACGCCGGGGCTGTTCCCAGGGCTGGGCCCTCCCCGGGGACAGTGACAGCAGCCAGTCACGTCTCCTGTGACCTGCCCCCACACCCACCCTTCAAAGGGGTCCCACACTCATTGCCATTCAAGTCCTCTCCGCGGTCACCCTGTCCTCAGGACGGTGACAGCAGTAATACAGTAAGGTCTTCACAAACGGCTCACCCAGGAGTCCGGAGCCCAGGGTCTAGGACTGGGTTTCCTCCTCCTCAGAAGCCAGCCAGGGTCTCATGGCGCTCGGGCCGGGTGGAGAGAAGGTGCAGGGGCTGACCGCCCAAGAGGGGAGTGGCCAGAGTGGCCCGGCCAGTGTGATGTCACAAGGGCTGGGGGCGGGGCCGGGGCGGGGCCGCCCCTCCCTGGAGAAGCCCAGCAGACTCTGCAAGACCCCCGTGCGCAGGGAACTGGCCTGTCCCCTCGCCAGTGTGCACCCTGCTGAACCCCCTTCCCCGTCGGGCTGTGACTCCGAGCCGGTCTCCTCTCCCGAGGGCTCCCCAGGCCGGCTCGCACCTGCTCCGGGAGGCGGGCCCTGGGACCCCGCAGAGCAGGGGTTTCTGGCCGGTCCCATCTCAGGGCACACGTGAACTGAGTGCTGAGACCCGGCAGCCCTCCAATCAATATATTTTTTGCTGATCTAGCAACAAGTAAAATAGTACAATTTTGATCTATTTACAAAAACATAGTAATAATATTCATTACCTACCCTTTCTGCTCCAAAGTGACTTTTAAAAAAACTCAGGTGCCTACACTCGCATAGTAGGACGTCTGGTACCGAGAATTAACCAATCAGACACAACGTTGTGTCTGCCGTGTGCGACCTGACCAATGAGATGTGACTCCATTATTTGTGGTTCGCCAGGGGCATCACACCTGGCTGCTGCTGTTGTGTTGGCGGCTGTCACGTTTTTCCTTGACAGTCTAAGGGACAAGAAGCCAGTGCCCCGACCAAACGGTCAGGCGGGGTGTTGCATGTTTACTGACCTGGGGAAGGAAGCACACCTCGCCCAGTGGGGGCTGTGTCTGGTGGCCGGAGACAAAAATGGCGTGACCCACCCTTGGAGCCCTGGGCCCCGCGGAGACGCGAGCTGAGCGCCCAGCTGGCGGCACCGTGTCGGCCCAGCTCACAGCTGAGGAACACAGGCTCAGCAGGTCGGGAAGCCACCAAGGCCTCGACTTGTGGCTCCAAGGGGCCCCAGCGAGCACACTCCGGGACCGAGGACGTCCCTGCTCCCCCCACGTCCTTCCAGGGCCCTGCGCCCGGGGCTGGCCCGCCCTCCTCTGCCCGATGGGCCCGGAGAGGCTGCTCCCCCCACACCCCCTGCACCCCCCCCAGAGGCCCCGGGCCCCTGGGTCCCCTCGGACACAGGCCTTTCCTTCTGGATCAGATTCGAAAGAACACAGACCCCATCCTGTGCTGCCCTGGACTGTGTCCCACTGAATCAACATGTGTCTCTGCCCCCGCGATTCCTGTCACCGGTGACCCTTCCCTGGTTGGCAACTGGCTTGCTCTTTGCTCGCTTCCTCCAGTAAAGTCTCGAAACTGCAGCCGCAGGGGCCGGTTTCTACCCCCCCCCCCCGTCCTTACAGCGCCCGGCTGCCTGGGGGCGGGGGGCTGCCCCGGCCCTCACTCGCACACTGCAGCCGGCCCCTGAGCCTGCGGTGCCCGGGGGTGTGGCAGCCGGGACCGAGATCGGAGGGCTGGCCCTCCACGTCCACGTCCCCCCAGGCCCCAAGGGAGGCCAGCGTGCCGGTCCCTAGAGCACTGGGGGAGCAGGACCCCATGCCACACTGCCCACGGTCAAACCCACATGGAAAGACACAGGTAAATCCGATCTGAAGTCTAGAGCCTCCGTCTGGCAGGCTGAGCTCCGCCCTCCAGGGCTCCAGGCAGGTCAGGGGTGGAGCCGTGTCCCTGCAGGGCACAGTGCTGGCCCCAGGCAAGCCATAGACGAGGTCACCTGAGCCCACAGGCCACCCCTCAGTCTTCACCTGTCCCCTCCCCCACCACAGGACACAGGGTGGGTGCACTGTCCCAGCCAGTGACCAGCAGTGGCCACCCAGCATGGGGCCGCAGTGACAGCCAGTGCCGAGTCTGGGCTTCCAGACCACCGGGACGACCATGGCTGCAGGGACAGGCACAGAGGGGACCCCTCGGCCTCTCCCCGGACCCCAGTCCATCAGCCACCCCCCCCACCTCCTAGACAGAGCTGTGGACCTCGAGGAGCAGCCACGCCCCTCCCTCGACCTCGTCTCTGCTGGCAGCGGTCAGAACCACCCGTTCTCTCCCTGACGAGTCTCTTTGTCTGCGTGGATGCTGCCACTTGGGGACGCTGGACTGAGGATGAGAAACCTTGGGGACACTGCCCAAGGACGTTCTGAAGGGCGCGGCCCCACCTCCCCTTTGTTCCTTCCGCATCTCCCCCCATCTCCCCCGTCTGTGACAGACCCCTCTGAGCTCCCCCCTCCCTCCCCTTCCCTCCTCCCTCCTTCTCCCTCCCTCCCTCCTTCTCCCTCCCTCCCTCCTTCTCCCTCCCTCCCTCCTTCTCCCTCCCTCCCTCACACACACACACACAACACACCACCCTGACCCCAGCATCTGTGCAGCTGGTGGCACCACCCACCTCCCACCACTCGATGGCAGTGTGGCTGCACAAATGTGCAGTCGCCTCCCAAGCCTGGGGTGTGTCAGTCAGCCCAGCACGGACAAATGCCGCTGTCCTCTGCCAGTCCCCTCCCACCCTGCACCTGGGACTCCGCCCTCCCGAAGAGCTGGGGGTTCATTCTGACTGCGGGCCATCCACCCCTCGTCCGTCACTTTGCTCCATGAACTGATCCTGCCCCATACCGGAGTGGGACCGGGGGCAACTGAGGGCAGGGGTGGCTCCTGGCGGTTGCTATGGACTCAGCTCTGCAGGAAAGCCTGGCGGAAGAGGGGCAGGAGGCAGGCCTCCGATTTCACTGGCAGCGGGGGTGGCGGCCAGCAGGAGAGAAGCCGGCCCTCGGAGGGACTCACCCTGAGAGCCACCCAGTCCAAGGCCAGGGGCCACTCTGGGACTGAGGGTGCCTGCCCAGCAGACGGGGAGGCTGTGGGCGCCAAGGCTGGGCCCCACCCTGCCCTGCTCCTCCTGGGCCCCCACCACGCTGGGCTAGCTGTCCTAGACGTCCCCCACCCTGACCTAAGCCTCTGGGCCCCCACAGATGGGACCTGGCCCAGGGGCGCTGGTGGGGATGTAGCAAGAGTCTGGGGCCCAGAGGGCCCCACAGCTGACCCCACAGCTGCCACTGTGGCCCCCATCCCTGGCTCCTGCAGTAAGAGCAGCACCCAGAGTCCCCACCCTGCCCTGCTCCTCCTGGGCCCTGCCAGGTGGGCAAAGAGGCCCAGCGGTAACGGCTGTGTTCCGCGGGCAGCACAAAGAAGGGGCCCTTGCCTCCGGCACAGCCTGGGGCCCAGACAGACCTCCACACTGCAGGCAGCCACGGGCAGGCGGTGTCAGGGCCTCATACAGATCTGCCGACCCAACCAGGCCTGGGGGTGTCCAGCAGCCCCCTCCGGGCCCCCCAGCCCCTGCTGGTTTCCCTCACACATGCATGTCTGTGTGTCATCTTTGAAATATGAGGTGTTTATGCTTTTTACTAGGGACTGTGTCCTGTGCCCCAAATATGGTGACGGCGGCAGCTTCCAGAATGGCTCCCAGGGCCCCCCCTCCTCCCGTGTGCATGTCTCAGTGGCGTCCCTGCCCCCAGCTCGCAGGCTGGGCCTGCGGACTGTCCCAATGGCGAGATTTTGGACGGCGGTGGTGGCTTGCCCACAGGCTGGCTCTGGCCCCCCTTGGAGGCTCAGAGGTGGGGAGGCGGAATGTGGGGATGGGGTCCTGCCCACGCCCACGGGGGCCCCACCAGGCCTGAGGCAGGCCTTGGATATGGGAATGCAGGGACACTTGTGTTTTTGTCAAAAGCCGCTACGTTTGGGGTGATTTGTGATACGACAGAGACCAAACGCAACTCTCAGAGACGGCAGACAGTCAGCACGCACACCCACGGTTGGTGCGGGAGCGTTTACTTCCCTTCCCCCTGCACCTGGGTTTGCAGCGAAGCAAAGCTGCCCCTACCTACTGGCTAACAGTGAGCGGGACGTGCCCTGGACTCTAATGCACAGAAACGTGGGTCTCGGTGAAGCGGCTCCTCTCCACGCAGAAACCATGGGAGGCCCGCCGCCGCCGGCGGGGCTGGGGTGGCACCTGAGGGCTATTTCGAGCTGGGCAGGGGCAGGGACCCTCCCGAGCGGCGCGGCCGCAAGGAGCATCCGGACTACAGCAGGAGAGGAGGCTTCGCCTCTTCCCCGGAGACAGCGGGAGCCCTCCCTCCTAGGCAGGCGCCCTGGTCCGGTTCAGCCACGACGGCCCCGCGTGGCCCCTGTCCAACCACAGGACACAGGGTGCGGAGGGCCGGCCGAGCTCACACGCGCTCCTTGTCGAACTCGCACAGGAAGGGCAGGGTGGTGCGGCAGGCCACGTCGTTCCAGCCCCCCGCGGCCACCAGCTCCACGCAGTCCTCCTCGTCGTAGGCGTTGTTGGGCTCCCCGCTGCGCCACTTGTGGAAGGTCTGCACGGGGGTGCGGTCGGCGTACAGGAAGCTGCCCTCACGCTCCAGGTCATTGATGCCGATGAACACTCGGGACAGACCCGCCTGCGTGACGTAGGCGGCCAGGAGGCCGTTGGCGGCCTCGTCCTTGGGCATGGCCAGCGTGCCGCCTCGGCCCTGGCAGGACAGCTGCGCGTCCACGTAGGCCCTCTCCTCCTTGACCAGCAGGTAGATCCTGCTCTCGGTCTCACGCACGCCGGCGACAGCTGCGGGGGAGGGCAGTGCTGGAAAGTGAGTTTCTGCGACAGACTCAGTGCGCGTGGGCGCGGCCCACACACGCACTGTGGTGGCAGCCCTCGTTCTCCTTGGGGTCCGGGGTTGGGGGTGGGGGGTCGGGGTGGGGGGTGGCACGGACAGAGAAGGCACCGAGAAGAACCCACCGTTCTTGATGAACTTCAGCTCGGTCGTCAGCTGGGTGACCTGGTTGTCCATCTCCCCGATGGCCTTCCGCAGCTGGCTGCACTCACAGGGGAGGCCTGCGGGGCGGGCACTGTGTCAGGAGAGGACTCGAGGGCGGGGCTCAGGGAAGAAGGGGCTGCCCCCCAAAACAGACGTGCAGCTCAGCAGACCCCAGGGGCCCTCGGGGCCCAGACCCAGGGGACTGTGGGGCTTGGCTCGGGGTGGCCACCATGGAAGTGGAGCGCAGACAAAGCCCTGGGGACGAGGGCGGCGGTGGGACTGGGGTGCAGTGAGTCAGTGTTGGGGACACGGGGTTCCTGTCTCCGTGACTCAGCGGAGGCGACGCCCCCCTAAGAGCTGGATGGAGCAGAGCAGCCCGTGGGCCAAGGAGCCACTGGGGCGCCCATGTGGGGACTCAGGGCTGCCCCCGGGCGGGTGCAGACTTGGCGGCACTGGCCTGTGTGGAAGGACAGAGGGGTTGTGGCTGCAAGGACGTCCAGGATGAGGGGAAGCCCAGGGGTCACGGAGGGCGAATGCCGCGCTGCAGGGCGGCATGGCTGGGTGGAACTCGGCGACAGGCGACCGCAGGCCCCAGAAGGACGGGCTGTGTGCAGGTGGAAGGACCCGGGACCGAACAGGCTCGAGGGTGTGGCGGACGAGGGGAGCCCAGGGCAGCCACGGCCCCGCCTCCCAGCCCGGGGCAGCTTTAGGCAGGAGTCACGCGTTTTCAGAATTGTGGTTTTAACACGCGTTCTGGGTTCCTGGGACCCTCTCAGCAATACCTGGGTCTCCGTTGGGGCCAGGGGGCCCTGCATCGCCAGAATCCCCTTTTTCACCTGAAAAAGAAAAGCAAAGTCAAAGTCACCAAGTAGAGATCGGCCACGTGTCACAAGTTCTCAACGACAACAGGTCACGTCCCCCAGGTGGGGACGCCCCAGGACCACAGGGAGTGATGGTCGGTGGACCCCGATCCTCGCACTCCAGGTATGCAGTGGGGTGGGCCCCTCCCGCGGGGTCTCAGAGCACCCCGTGGCCATCCTCTGCGCCAGCTCTGGGACACCCCACGGCATCTAGGAACACGTGTCGGACGTCACGCGTCCTGACGCCACAAGCAAGCGGCCACTAAACCCGATGCCAGTTCTGTCTGGGTCCCTCCTCACAGCAGGGTGAGCCAGAGCACGTGATCCTGGAGCCGAGGGGCCTCCCCATTCTGCGAAACCGGTCCTCCAGGCCCTGCCCAGAGAGGCAGCCGAGTGGCCGGGTCACCCACAGCCACCCCAGACCCGGGCTCCCGCCACCTGCTGCGTGGGACCCTCCGCACAGCCACCTGCCCCTCCTGTCTCTGGAACAAAACCCGGCCACACGGCCTTCTGGCTTCTCTACAACTAGACGGTGGGCATTCGCTGTAAAGCTGCAGGACCTTCCGCAGGCACCACCTTCCTCCTCCCGGGGAGGCCCTGAGTCCCCGCCGGGGGCCAGCGAGGGCCAGCGACCCCTCCTTCCGTGGATTCAGGGGCATTTGCCGGGGGTGGGGGGGGGCACTGAGCCGGACCGTCTCCGTCCAGCGGGCTCCTCTGTCTCCTTCACCAGCCCCGGGGCTTGGAGACGACGGGCAGCATGACAAGGACCCGCGATGGGGACCTCCCGGGCGGGAAGGGGAGGCAGGACGCGTGGACGTACCTTTAGAGCCGATGGGACCGATCTTCCCGTGGCGACCCACAGTGCCTTTCTGTCCCTTGTCGCCCGCGTCTCCTGAGGAAGACGGATCGGCACAGGTGGTTGACGCACAGGCGGTGCCGCGTCCCTCCCACTGACATCACACGTGTGCACGCACTCGTTCACACACACACTCGTTCACGCGCACACATGCTGCAACACGATGTGTATGCACATCCATGCTATGCACACACAAAACACATACATGCACACATGACACGTGTGCACATGCACACCTTCCCGCTCACCCCGCACAGGCTGTGTGTGAGTCCTGTCGACACGAGCTGGACCGTGGCCAGAGCGCCCAGAGGCCGGGAGGCTCCCCCCCCCCCCCTGCACGAGCTGCCCACGCTGAGCCCTGTCACAGTGCCAGCTGCTGTCTCTGAGGGGACAGTCTGTGTGGGGGCACGTTGCAAAGGTGGGGACGTCCAGCCCTGTGACTGCCAGCGCCGACACCGTCTGCTCCACTCTGCGAGGCGGTTCTTGCAACTACAGAGCCGTCTACCCACACCCCACCCCCGCTTCCCAGACCTGGGGAGGCCCCCGAGGGTGAGGAGGAGGGAGGACCGGCAGGCAGGGGCGGCCCAGGACCACAGGGGCTGTGAGGCCGGCCACCTGTCACCATGGAGCAAGGCTCCGGGCCGTGGGTGTGGGTGGGCCTGTGGCTGCCAGTCCAGGGGGCCTCTGCACAGAGCCGCTCTCAACCCAGCGACCTGGACGCCGTGAGTCCGCGGGGCCAGAGCTCGTCTTCGGGCGGGAAGCATGGCATCCACCCCGGAGTGCATTGGGGAGCCCAGCGGCCTCCACCCCGCCTGGCCACGGCAGCCCCGCGCGCGGCTCTCTGCCTCGGTGCGCCCTCAGCGTCCACGCAGCCGCCTCCCCTCTGGGCTCCGAGGGCTCCAGGCTGTGTCCCCCGGCACTCGGCCCCTAACTGCACTCAACTTGGGGGTTCGACGACGGAGAACGGCCGCGAGGCAGGCCACCTCCGTGCCGAGAGAGTCCATCCTCAGCTCTAGGAGGTGCGAGGACAATGTCCGCAGCTGCCGCAGGCCTGCGCTGCCTTTCCAGCGGGAAAGGAGACTGACGGTGACAGGTGGCCAAGTGCCTGGTGACACAGACGAGTGAGCAGAGAAGCGTCTGCGCGTGAAACCCGGCGCAGCCACCGCACGGGCTGCTGGACTTCCAGCCACCGCGACCTGGAACTCTCTGCAGCAGCTAAGTCATCCCCTCCCGCAGGCGGACAGGGGGCGGGGTCGTGCGGGCCAGCACCACGGCATCTGCACCGACACCCTCTCGGGCCACAGCCCCGCGGCCGGTGGCTCCAAGGAAAGAATCAGAGACACGAGCAGAAACAGAAGCGCCTGATGAGCCCAGAAGGAAGAGAACCCAAGACGGGCCTTTAAAGAGACAGAAAAACACAACCCGACGACGGACAAAAAGACGGGAAAGCTACAAATTCCCCTCAGACCCCTGAACCGATGACTCTGCTTCCTCCGTAGACGGAGGCCGAAGGGACCCCCCAGAGGTGGCGTGGTCAGCGCGCAGGGGTGGCCTGCACGCACACCACCTGTGGGGCCAGGCGCCGACTCGGCCCCCGGGGAGGCGTCACGGGAGCTGCGCCCACGCGGTGGCGTGGCCGGGCGTGTCTTCCAGCTGCGCCCACACTCTAAAAAGGGGCCAGTTTGAGGTTGTGTGCGGCATCGCAGCCCCAGGGCATCGCGAGTCCCCGGGAACAGTGGGCCAGGCAGACCGCGTGTGGCAACTCCCCAGCGTGGGAGACGAGACGAGGAGGCCCAGTCCCCGTGGACGGATCTCCGAGGGGCACGCTCGGTGCCCAGGTTGGCGTGCGGACGACGCATGGGCACTGCACTCTCACAGGCAGAGGGACAGGGCGCTGAGAGGCAGCCGCGCCACGAGACCACGCGAGGACTGACAGACCCACTGTGGCCATGCGTGAGGTGTCGGGAAGGACACTGAGCTCCATGCACCAGTTCTATGTTTTAAACTGTGAGCTATAGAACTGGCTTACTTTTTATCTTTTAAGTTAACTTTTATGAGCAGGGAGAAAAGTGAGACGGGAACGTTAGCACTGGGGGGTGGTGGGGGCCAGCCGTGACCGTGAGGAGCGCCCACACGCATGCACGGCTGTCACTGGCCACACCGCACGCTTCGAAAGGAGCATGCAGCCCCCTCAGAAGAGTCAGACCACCGCACGTGGGCTTAACAGCACAGGTCCCAGGACCCTTCCTGGGGCTGTTGCAATAGTTCGGGAGGCTGGGCACAGCCTGACTGCGGTGCTGCGGGGCCGGCTGGGGGCCGGCCAGGTGAGCTCAGCACTGTCCTCATGCTGAGTGAAGATGCGGGGAGTGCACTCCCGCGGTGAGTTCTGACGACCTGATCAAACCTGAAAGCAGAGCGGTCCACCCCGTCCCGAGTCAGCAGCCCCATTCACCCGGCGCCTCCCGATTGCTGGGCCGCCTGCAGCCCTGCCTGTCCAGCCTGGTGCCGGAGCTCGGGGCAGCCCGGGGGCCGCCCAACCGTGGCCATGAGGACCCCACACCTACGTCAGCAGGACTGCGCACCCACCCACATCTGTGTGTCCCTTGGCTGCCCTCAGGGTTGCTTGGTGGTTTGCACACTCTCACAATTGCACTTGAGCGTGTAACACTCACAGGAGCCCATCCTGCAGGTGAGGCCGGTGAGGGTTGTGCAGCGTGGGCTCCCGTGCTTACCGCCGCCCGTGCACACCGCCCAGGGCCCACTGCAGCCCACAGGCCGGTGCCCAGGAGCACGGCTCAGAGGCCTCTGTGCCCTACCCCACCGCCAGGCTGCTGACCTCCCGAAACCTACACGGGTGTCAGGTCCCCTCACGCCCCCCACCCGGCCTCTCTCGCGCCCTGGCGTGCAGAGCTCCGGGCAGCTGAGAAGGTACCTTTCTCTCCTGTGGGGCCCACTCTTCCAGGCCGGCCAGGTGCGCCTTTGTCCCCCTTCTCGCCAGCGTCCCCTGCGGAAGAAGTCACACGCGTTTAGGACTCTCTCTGGGCGCAGGACCCAGTGTGATGGGGGGGGGGGCAGCAAGAAAAAGCTCGCTCTGTGCCCCCACGAGTCCCTGGGCCTCCCTCTCCCCAGACCTGGCCCCTCTCCTCCTGACCCTCTCCCACACTGACCTCCCCATGGGGGGCTCAGCTCTCCTCCCCAGCTGCTCTCCGGACTGCGTCCCCCCCACCTTGTGTGAGCAAAGAGGAGTATGAACATCAGCGCACGGGGTTGGTGGGGGGGCCGACCAGGACGCGCTTCCTTCTCTCCGGTCACCCCTGGCCAGCTCCCAGTCTGGCCCCAGGGGCCTCACCCCATCTGCTCCCCAGGAGCCCGACCGTCTCACCACAGGTGGCACACGGCCCAGCGTGGGGGTGGGGCGGGGTTACCTTTGAGGCCCGGGACCAGGATCTGCAGGGAGCAGGCATCGTCCACGGTCTGCTGCGCGTGTGCAGGCAGGGCCAGCGACAGGAAGGCCAGGCTGACGAGGGCCAGAGCCCTCTTCATGATGAGCGCGGGCAGGGCACTGACCCCTGAGGGAAGGAAGGGATAAACAGTGACGGAAATTCCCACCAGCAGGCAGCCGGTGACAGTGTGCAGGCCACCGCTGGGCTCAGGGCCACGGCCTCCCTCCTCCCGCGGGGCCACGGCAGCGCTGCTGCCCTGGGGGCTCGGGCCGTGTGGGCCTCCCTCGTCCCCGTCCTGGGAGCTGGCACACAGTCTCTCTCCCAGTCCGTCACGACTGGGCCTTCGCTCACATGAAGGAGTGTTTACAGGCCAGGGAGCCGTGCGGTCTGCCTGGCTGGCCTGGGGAGCTGGGTCCTGTCACGTGCCGATGCCCCTGGCCCGTCCCACCCAGCGCACAGGGCACTGTGCCCCTGGACGGGAGATCCCGTCTCTTGCTGACTCCGCAGCAGAGTCCCCACACAGACGCACGTCCCCGAACAGCAGGCTGGAGTCCCACAGGACAGTGTGTCACAGCATGCGGACTCTTCGGGTCACCCCTTTCCCGCTGCAGGGTGCCCAGGCTCAGCCACAGCGCCCCGGGCAGCTGGAGCTCCCTGACTCTCAGGGTGGGACGGGGTGGAGTTGGAAGGGGCAGGTCGAAAGCTGTCCCTGGGTCACTAGGGGAGTGTCTGACACCTGCCCCTCATGATGTGGCACTTTGGCACCACAGCTGGGGACAGTGGGGTGCCTGCTGGACCAGCGCCCTGGCCAAACGGCATCTCCTCGGTCCACCTGGTCACCTTGAGGTGGAGGCAGGACCCCTGCCATGACTGAGGCACCCGGGGCTCTGCCTGGGGCCTGGCTTGCGGCCGGTGCTCCCTCGGTGGCGGCTTTGTGTGCCCGCCACCACATGGCAACCCGGCCCCGCAGCCAGCGAGGGCCTCCGGAGGAATGAAAGCTCGGGAAGCCAGCATTCGTGTGCAGTGAGCCTGCTGGGCACACAGCAGACACGGAGAACAGTACCCACGTCTCGGGGCAGCGGGCAAGGTCCGGGAACCAAGCACAAAGGGCTGGGGACAAGGGTGAGGCCGCCCTGGGCCCCTGACCACCACACACTCAGCCCCGCTCAGCTGCCCTCCCAGGAACGATGGCAGCACGTCAGGAGGTGGTGGCGCCTCGGGCAGCGCTGACCGCTGCGCTCAGGCCGGCACACCGGCCGGACTTGGTCCCTGGGACGTGAACTGGGAAGCGTCTCAGGTGTTGGGAGCTGACGTGCGCTCTCCTCTCCAGGAGCACAGCCTGGCGGGCAGGTGCAGCCCTCACCTGGGGTCGGCCGCAGTGCAGCTCCCAGGAAGACCAGCGGCTTGCTAAGCACAGATCACTGGCCCAGCCCCACCCCAGCCCCTCCAGGCTGGCTGCTCCGGGGCAGCCCCCACACTGCCGCGCACCCTGGGCTGGGAGGGAGGGAAGAAATGGCTTCGTCTCTGCGAGACAGCACAGGACAGGACACAACCCGTCACCGGATCTGGGTCCCTGTCGAGGCGACTGCCCCTGGGCTGGTAAGCTGAGGGAGCCTGGCACTCCTGGTCCTGAAGGACTCGGGCCTCTGGCCTGGGTCCCAGCACAGGCCCTGTCCCCTCCCGCCCAGGCCGCCCTCAGATCGTCTGGAATCCGCCTTCCTGGCTCTGTGTCTCCCCCTGCGCTGGTCTCCAGGGGCAGAGCCACCGGCAGGGTTGTTTCCTACCTGAGGCGCACGGGAGGCGAAGGGGTGTCCTGACTGTCAGGGGCCCGCGAGGACACTGAGTCTGGCAGCCCCCACACAGAGGCCGGGCGCCCGGGCCGTCCCACTGCCCAGCAAATCAGGCCGGCGCCCCGGCGTTATCTGCAAACAGCTTCCTGTTGGAGACCATCGCTGTCCTGCTGGGGGAGGGCGGTGCTCTGAGTGTGGGAACAGGCAGATGGGGGATCGGGACTGGGGGGCTTGGGCTCCTGCAGAGAGGCCTGACTCCCCACCCACACCCCCGCTATCTCTGCTGTTCTTCTCGTTTTGTTTTTGGAGCAACAAGCACGAGTGTTCTGGAAATCAGTGAAGCGTAAAGAGGGCGACAACGATTGCCCGGGAGGAAACCCATCAGACAGGAGGAGTCCGGCCGACACGCGCCCAGGTTTCACATGAAGCACTTTGTGCAGCTACTGCTTGTCCAGGCGAGGCCCCAAGGGGTCCCCAAACCCACTCCACTAGCCGAACTTTCATTTGAAGGCAACGCATGCCCCAGACACGTCTTGGTGGTGGGCTGGGTGGACCCGGCCTATACAGTGGGGTGGGGCGTCTTTAAGAAAGATACCTGCCCTGGCTGCTGTGGCTCAGTGGGTTGACTGCCGGCCTGGGAACTGAAAGGTCACTGGTTCGATTCCCAGTCAGGGCACAAGCCTGGGTTGCAGGCCAGGTCCCCAGTAGGGGGCACTGGAGAGGCAACTGATTGACATTTCTCTCCTTCCCCTTCTCCCTCCCTTCTCTCTCTCTAAAATGAGAAACCCTTTTAAAATACAAGAAAGACACATCCAGGCTGGTGCAGTTGGCCGAGTGTCGTCCCACAGAGCAGAAAGGTCCCCGATTCAACTCCTGGTTGGCACATGTGCCTGGGTTGTGGGTTCGGTCCCCTGCCTGGGCGTGTGACAGGGGACGCAGCCAGGTCTCTCTCACACATCCGTGCCTCTCTCCCTCCCTTCCCCTCTAAACCAAATGAAGCCTCTTTTAAAACAAGGTGCGACTCCCAGGTGCAGTAGGTACCGGGGCGTGATGGCGGGAGCGAGCGTGCGCTGGGCAGTAGGAGCTGGGAGAGCAGCCCCTGTGGGTTCTGTCTTCCTTTCTGTTCCCTTTGGGGGGGGGCGGGAACTGAGGGAGGGAGACATCGACGTGTGGCTGCCTCTCACACCCCCAACCCGGGACCTGGCCCCCAACCCAGCCATGTGCCTGACTGGGAATCAAACCCATGACCCTTCGGTTCCCAGGCTGGCGCTCAGTCCACTGAGCCACACCAGCCGGGCCCCCGTTTCCTTTCATTGCTCCTCCATGGATCAGAGGCTGCAGGGCAGGCCCGCCAGAGCACGCGCACACCTTGTACACCTTCACCCGGGACAGCGTGTCGTGAGCTTCTCGGCACAGCTGGGAGGAGCCCTCCAGCCACATCAGGCTCTGGCGGAGGCTGGATGTCTGCCCCGAGGGTCAGCACCAGGCCGGGGCACCCTCTGAGCCCTGAACATGGCGCTGGACGCCCTGCCAGCCAGGGGGGCGTCGGCTCCCCCAGACTGCCCTGCAACAGTAGCTCGGGCCCTGCCGTCACCCCAGCAGGGTCTGTCGGTGCGGACAAGGTTGTGCTGAGTTTCTGTTGAAAGACGAAACCAGAAGGACTAGAGCTGCTGTGGAAACTAAAGTGGAAGGAGTCAGTCTACCCGGGCCACAGAGAGGAGCTGCGCACTATCCCCAGCTGGTTTAAGGGGTGTGTGTGTGTGTGCGTGCGTGTGTGTGCAACACACATCACGGTGTTACTCTTTCTGCGCCTGATTATTTCACTGAACAGAACGTCCTCTGGGTCCGTCCACCTGGCAGGCTGGGTCAGAGGTCCCCTCCCTTGAGAGGCTGAGAACCCCTGGGCACACCCGTCATGTTCTCGGCATCCGGCCCTCCAGGGGCGCAGAGCTGGGCCACTTGGCTGCTGGGACGTGGGGGGCGGACCCTGCCCTCGGCTCCACGGGGCTCTCCCGGGGGCGGGGCTGCAGGTGGTGCCCAAGCCTCCTCCCACCCTGCCTTCTGTCTCTCAGCCAAAGTGGGTACTTACCTTTCATATTTGTATTTTTTTAAGATTGTATTTACTGATTTATTTTTAGACAGAGGGGAAGGTAGGGAGGAAGAGAAGAAATATTAATGTGTGGTTGCCCCTCACATGACCCTACTGGGAGCCTGGCCCACAACCCAGGCATGTGCCCTGACTGGGAATTGAACCAGTGACCCTTTAGCTGGTAGCTCAATCCACTGAGCCACACCAGCCAGGGCACCTTTTGTTTTTAAAAAGTGCCAATAACCTGAGAACTCCTCTCAGACACAAAGCTAGGTGACAGTATTTTACTGACTGGCCTACTTCAAGTGGGCTGTCCGTGGGAACCATTCTCACCGGAAGTCACCTCTGCCTACGCGGGGCCAGTGAAGCACCCGTCATCGGAAGTCGCTGGGTCCACCTGCCCCTTCCTCTCCCCCCCCCAACACTGTCGTCTTGGCCCCTGGGAACAGCCTTTCCCCTCGTGAACTCTGACCCCCCTGCCTGGCTGCTTCCAGTGGGAGGAAGGGATCTGGCTGCCTCCTGGTCACTGTTTACATTTCTCAGAGATAGCGGAGAAGTCTGGGCCCCAGCCGGGTGGGCCCCTCGGTCACTGGGTGGGGCTTCCCTGGCAGTCAGAGCCCAGCAGCCCTGAGGCTGGGACGCCGCCCACTCGGCCTCCTGCTCCAGCACGTGGGCTGGGTCCCTTCCTCCCCAGGGCACATGCTCTCGGCCTGGGCACTTGTGGCCACAGCCCAGGTGGCACTGAGAATCGGGACGGCGCCCAGTGTGGGGCGCTCTGGTTGCACACCGAGTGCGTCAGCAAGAGCGTGTAGTCAGTGGGGACACCAATGACCCTACGAGCCCAAGTCACAGCCACATACGTGCTGACCTCTGACTGTGCCGGTAAAACCTGGAGCCGAGAGAGAAATGTTTCAGCGAAAGGCCCATCAGTGGCCTGTGCCTGCGGAAGCCACCCCACCGCACCACAACCCTGAGGTACTGGGCCAAGCCCCCGGCTGCAGGAATGGCTCCCTTTCATGGGACCACCTCCCTGGAGGGCTGAGCCCCGGGAGCTGACAGGCTCCAGGGAAGCCTCAGTGTGAGATGGAAAAGCGACCAGAGCACCAGTAAAGGCCAGAACCCCGCCTGCGCTCCCTTCACCGTGGCGGGCGTACTCGGTGCTCATGGCCCGTCTCTCTGGGTCAAGTCTCAGGCACCCCCATTGTTCACGGGGTCTCATGGGTTCTCACTCCTCCCTTCAAACGAAGCGCATGTGGGATCTGGTTTACAAGGACAAAGACGTTCGTCCACGTGTTCAGCAGATCCCTGGTGGTTACACAGCGCCCGGTGCTCTGCCAGACCCACCCCCTCCCCCGATCAACCAACTGACTCATCACCTCGGGGCAACCACTCAGAACTGGGGGTCCGCTGGTCTTGCCTAGTCCGGGCAAGCCCTCATTTCAGGGAGACACGAAGGCCCACTTGCAGCCGCAGCTCCGGGCAGGGTGCTGCCAGCAGGGCCTGGGCAGACCCGGCCCACAGCGCGCAACCTCGTGCCCGCTGGTCAGCACGAGCTCCAGGCCTGCCCAGAGCTGAATGCCGGAGCTGGGGAGGCACCAACAGGGACGGTTCTCCGGCCCGAGGGCTCTGTCCAGGGGGTCAAGAACTACTGAGTGAGCCACCCCATTTCCAGGGGGCTGGTTGGACCGTCTCAGGCCCAGACAGACCGCCGAGTGAGGTGGCAGCCTCTTCCAGACGTCGCTGCAGAGGACCAAGTTTGTGTAGGATCGTGATGTCCTGGCCGGTGGTTCAGCTGGTTAGACCTCATCCCTACACCTGGGTTGCAGGTCCGCTCCCTGGTCAGGCAGCAGCCAACGAGCGCATCAGCATCTCTCTCCGGGGTCACGGGTTTTGCAAGCACTTGGCACACGAAGAACCGCAGCTGTCCGCTCCACTCCCCACGGGCCCCGGTAAGGCAGCCGCCACCTGCTGTGCCCCAGGGCCTCACTGCCGCTGTCCCTCCCCACTGCCTTCAGTTCTGGGGGGAAACTGCGTGAAGCCCTGTCTCAAGTGACACCACTTAGATTAAAGCCTAATCACACCTCTCATCGGCCGTTTCAAAGACCATTTAAGACCAACCACGAATTCACCTGAGAAAATGGGTCTGGGTCCAGGCCCACAGTACGAAGTTCGGTTTCCCAACTCTGTAAGCACACCCGAGGCCACCGAACTGCATGCCTCGGAACGGCCCCCGATGGCGGGTGTGTTCCAGCGCATGTACGCACACACACACACACACTGATTCCAACACTTTCCCGTCACCTCCGCCCGTGGGAAACACCTGTCTCCACCTGCAGGTCTCCAGCCACTGCTTCTCCCCGCCCAGTGTCTGTCACTCGAGGCCCAGTCTCCGTCCTCTCTGGGGCAGAACTGTCTGAAGCCTGGACCCCGGAGACGCAGGGCTCCTTCCAGTCGCACCGCCGTGCGGAGCCGACTCCGTCTCTCTGGTGCCTCTGTGCAGGTGCTGCAGTTCAGCCACGTCACCCGCCACGGCCACCACACCCAAGGCCCGCACGCGCCCACGTGCCCCGGGGCTCGCAGACGAGCCGCAGGAGCTCTGCCCAAGGGCCCGGCCCTGCAGGAAACTAGCGATACTGAGAACAGCCGGAACCCAGGTCTCCAGAATTTCGAAAGACATGCCTGAACAGGATACTGAAAATGGTCTTTTATTTAGTCATTTTTGCTTACAACTGAAACTCTGGGAACTCGAAATTAACGTCCTTGCCCGTGAGCTTCTTATAGACACCAGAAAAAGTTTCAACCTACGAGGAAAACAAAGACCCCGTCATAGATCACAAAACTCACACAGGTGCCCGTCCCGCGGCCTCCCGGTTCCGTGACGACATGCCCATGTGGCGTTTCTCCCCTCAGCCAACGGCACCGAGGGGACGAGGGCCCTGCAGGGCATACCCTCCACAGTCCCCAGAGGCTGTGGGACAAGATGCCACACCTCACCCCCGCACCTGTGCCCCTCCGGGCCATGAAGATGAAGCCCCTGGGGACCTCACAGTTGGCCCACACTGGGGACACTTCCCCAGCAAAAGAGAAGAATGACCGCTCTCCCCAGACCCTGACCCCCCCACAGGCTCACTGAAAGTCAAA